GTATGGACAAGGTTGGAAGCTCGCTTCTGTCAAAGTTTAACAGCTTCATTGCAGGGGATGACGAGGATAACACGGCCAACAAATCTGGTGGGTCCGAGGTTGGACCTTTCGCTAAGATTACCGGCGATAGCCCTTCCCTTACGCCTTCACATTCGAATGCGGATCTCTATGGCGCAATGTCTGGTTATGGTGTGCCTGCACAGCCGCCAGCACCAGGCAACTCAAGGTATGCACCATCAAATGCATACGCACCAAGGTCTTCCTCGGAACAGCAGCGGTCTCGTTACGAGCCCGGTGGTCGACCGTCAATGGAGTCAAACGATAGCTATGGCATGCGAGCAGCATCCGACAATTATACGCCTATGACACCGACATCCAATATCTACAGCCCTACGCAGACCCAACTGAGTCCACCGAGTGCACGCACGCAAGCCAAAGCACAATCGTACTCTCCACTTCGTCCTGAGTACAGTCCGGCCCAGCCATCCTTGGGCAGTCCTTACATGCCCACTCCCCCAATCCAAGATTCTTCCTCGGCCCCTGCGTTTGGTGGTTACCAGCCGCAAGCGAGCTACGATGAGCCGAGTCAGCCTACAGACAATGAGTTAACATACGATCGATATGGACCTTCCTCAACTACCTTCGAGCCTCCCGCGTACCAGCCCTACAACCCCGATGAGGACGATGAGGACGATAAGAAGAAAGAGGAAGAGAAGCAAGTAACCAAGAAGAAATCTTTCATGGATCTCGACGACGATGACGATCTTGCTGCTCGCGCCTCAGCTCTGAAGATCAGCGGAGGCGGCAGCTCCAAGTCAGAAGCAGACAAGAAGGCAGACGAGGCATTCCGCAAAGCGGCCGAAGCAGATGCTCAGCGTGACAAGGAAGCCGCGGCAGCGAAGAAGGGAGGATGGCTGTCTGGGTGGTTTAAGAAAGATCCCAACGCCGCTCCCGGTCCTATTAAGGCTAAGCTGGGAGAAGAGAGCAGTTTCTACTACGATACGGATCTTGGCAAGTGGGTAAACAAGAAGGGCGGTGCGGCAGATACGGGTAAACCCGCTGCAACACCACCGCCTCCACGCGCTGGTCCTCCCGGCGGCGCAGCTCGAAGTGCCTCAGGCGGCGCGCCCACCCCGCCTATGGGTCCTCCCGGCGGCCTGCGTCCACCTACATCCAACCCTCGCTCCTCATCTATGCCACCACCAATGGGCGGTGCTGCGTCCCGTGCCTCTACACCAGGTATCCCAGAGTCTGATGAAGAGGGCTTCGCTGCTGGACCTAAACCACCTGTGCTAGCCAGACCGAGCTTTGGTGCTGCATCAGGACCGCCGTCACGACCGGGCACTGGTATGAGCAATGCCAGTAGTATTGATGATTTGCTGGGTGCACCTCAAGCCAGAAAGGGACCAGCAAATAAGAAGAAGAAGGCTGGTCGCTATGTCGATGTCATGGCGAAGTAGAAACGCTATGAAGAATGATGAAGACATGGAAACGGAAGTTACGCAGAGATAGATGGATGACTGCCGTTATCAGCCGGACCAGATCACGACATGTATGGGATAGTGTCATGACGGGATTCGGTACGAAGATAGACGTGGCATGCTTTGGTTCCTGCATTAGATGGAGCATTAAGCAATTAGTCGAGCCCGTTTTCCGGGACACATTTGTACTATAATATTATCATCTCAGATTTCTCCTTGACTCTATCCCATGTTGCAGCATTATCGTAGTATCCTTTGAAAACGTGATAACTTGCTGTGATGCGATAAACGTGTCCACCTGGGGGCGGCCCCAGCTTTCCACTCGACCCTCCACAAAAGATACGAAGAACGGCCTTTTGCTCGGGGCTGTTGCTGGCTGGGCGCTGCCGACAGTCGGGCACTGGTCGGGCTTGACCCCACATGAACGCACGCGACCGATTCCGTCCCAGTCCGGCAAACACACCCGACAACGGAGATGACGCATGCGGCTTCGATCGGTGACATGCGCGCCTGGCAGGGTTGATTGTACACGCCAATCTGCTATCACGACTCCTGCAGGCGTTCGATGGGGGACAATGATGATGGGTGGGCAGACACCAAGGGTTGCTTATCGCGCTTACTTGATGTCTGATGTTGTCGGTGATTTCTATATCGAATCAAACGCCTATCTTCCTGGCGCGCTCCGACTCATGGTGTGGAGCGAACGATTGCAGCGTCGCATTTCGCGCGTTTCCCAGCTCCCAAGACCCTAGTCTAGACTTTGACGGGCTTGACGCCGGCGGTTGCCAGCTGCGGGGAATTTGTCGGGTCACTCGCGTGTTGTCGTCTTTTATCTTGGGTTTCTCGTGTTCTTATCCCTAATAGCACACCTTCGTCGTCGTTTCTGTTATCAACGGTCGTTGCGCCCTTATAAACGTTGGACTGGACTGGTCGGTTGCCACACCCGGACTTTGGAGTCGTTTTCGCCATTTTATCGCAGCGCAATTCGTCGCGCAGTAAGAGTCGGGTTTGGCACTACAATATTGGTCGTTAGGAAAGCGAAACAATCATGGCGAAGAGTGTTTCCATCAGCGAAGGAGGAGGAGACGATGGCGTTCGAAGAAGAGCGTCGGTCAACGACCCTGGCGCCGACGCTGCTCTCGCGAAGATGGGTTACCAATCTGAGCTTCCTCGAAATCTATCCATGTTGAGCGTTCTCGGCATGTCGTTCGCCATCATGGCTGTTCCTTTCGGTCTTTCCACAACACTCTACATCACGCTTACCGATGGTCAATCCGTTACCGTGCTGTATGGCTGGATCCTCGTTTCTCTCATCTCCCTGGCTATCGCTGCTTCGCTCGCGGAAATCTGCGCAGTATATCCTACGGCTGGCGGTGTATACTACTGGTCGGCCATGCTTTCGACACGCGAATGGGCGCCCATCGCCTCGTGGGTCACCGGTTGGTTGACTCTGGTTGGAAACTGGACTGTTACGCTTTCGATCAATTTCTCAGGTGGCCAACTTATTCTATCCGCCATCACGCTCTGGGATGAAGACTTTGTGCCGAACGAATGGCAGACTGTGCTTGCGTTCTGGGCTGTTATGCTTATTTGCATGAGCATTAACATCTTTGGAGCAAAGTATCTGGATCTGATCAATAAGATTTGTATCTACTGGACGGCAACCAGCGTGGTGGTTATTATGGTTGTGCTGTTGAGTATGGCGGATAACAAGAGGGATGCCGAGTTCGTGTTTGCGCATTACGATGCCAGCCAGAGTGGATGGTGCGTTGCCCCTTCTATCTCGAACCGCGTCTCGGACCAGTTATACTGACTTTAGTTTTAGGCCATCCGGATGGGCTTTCTTCGTCGGTCTCCTACAGGCTGCTTACACGTTGACTGGTTACGGCATGGTCGCCGCCATGTGTGAAGAGGTTTCCAACCCATCCCGCGAAGTTCCCAAGGCCATCGTTCTCTCTGTCGCTGCGGCCGGTGTCACGGGTGTCATCTACCTGATCCCTATCCTCTTCGTTCTCCCCGACGTACAACTGCTTCTCGATGTCGCCAATGGACAACCTATTGGCCTGCTCTTCAAGACTGTCACTGGAAGTGCAGGCGGTGGCTTCGGACTCCTCTTCCTTATCCTCGGCATTCTCTTCTTCGCTGGCACGGGTGCATTGACCGCAGCCTCGCGCTGCACCTACGCCTTCGCTCGCGATGGCGCAATCCCCGGTTCGCGACTGTGGGCCAAGGTAGACAAGCGCTTCGATATCCCTCTCATGGCACTCGTCCTCTCCACAGTCGTCGACTGTCTCCTCGGCCTCATCTACTTTGGCTCCTCGGCCGCCTTCAACTCCTTCACTGGTGTCGCGACAATCTGTCTTTCCACATCCTACGGCATGCCCATTCTCATCTCGGTGCTACGCGGTCGTAAGGCTGTACGCCATTCGTCCTACTCGCTCGGCCGTTTCGGTTACGCCATCAACATTGCCATGATCGCTTGGATCTGCCTCGCAGTTGTACTGTTCTGTATGCCGGTCAGTCTACCAGTTGAGGCGGCTACTATGAACTACGCGAGTGTAGTGTTTGCAGGTTTCGCGGCAATTAGCGTGGGGTGGTATTTCATCCGCGGCAGGAAGGAGTTTTCCGGACCGCCCGTGCCGACAGATGCGGAGCCTGGTGAGGAAACTGTTGTTGCGGGGCTGGCGGTGCAAGACAGCAGGCAGGATATTGAGGGCAGGGGTGATAAAGACAAGGTTGTGGATGGCAGTCCAGATAGTAGTAAGGTCTATTAGGGCGTGGATGCGAGGGAGTGTGATATTTCCTGGACATACGACACGTTGTAAGATGGGTCGTTACATTACCTATGTAATCGAGAGATTCTATCGCAGCTTGCATTGTCTGATGTGCATACTATCCTATTTGAGGTTGCTGTCATAAAGACGGTAGCTTTCCGCTCTCTTGTGAAGGGGTGACGCCACACAGCGCTAAAGCCACGGCTAGCAGGGGTACGCGGTCCACGGTTACGCGGTTGTTCGCAACCACCTAACGCGACAATCACGGTGACTCTCATGGACGTGTTGCTTGTCTCTCAGACCGACGGCAATGAAGTGAGTACTTCCCTCGGTATTGACCCCCTCGTATTTCCTAGCCTACCATGTCCTCTCGCAACGTACCATGAGTAACATGTCTAACAAGCGCAACGGCAGCGACTGGCGACCCTCCATAGTCGGCCTCACCTACCATGACGATGCGCAAGAAAGCGACGAGGGCCCGTTGTCCTCGCTGCCTTTGGGGACGCACGACCCCTCCATGACACCACATCTGCCCGTACCTCCCCCATCATCACGGCCACCTACTTCAACGACGCGACCCACATACGCACATCCACACCCCCCATCTACCGGAAGCGCGTCGACGGCGACAAATGTAGCAAATATAGGACGCCATGGTGCCACACCAAATAGCTATATGTCGGTGCCTGGGCATGCGCATGCGCATAATGGAACTCACCACGAAAGGCCAGCCAAGAGGATGAAGATGTCAGAACCTAGTGCAGCCAACAAGCCTCCGTCGGTACAAGACATCAACCAAGCCTTGAAGAACACCGAGCCTGCGACCATACTGCAAAATGTTCGGGTGAGCACCCCACGCACGCTGCATATCGGTCGCCAGTCGGCAGGTAACAGTGCGAGCCCAGTCCTGAATGTACCAAGTCAACGAGAACAGCCCCGCCACGCAGCTACGCACAAAGAAACACGGCAGACAAGTGCAGTGACATCAGGTAGAGTTCCAGGACGATCGCGCAGTCGCCCTTCGCCAGCCGCGAGACCGAACTACTTCGTGGGAACTGCCGAGGAGCCTTCCGACGAGGACAAAGATAGTGTCATGTCCGATGTTTCGTCGCCTACAGAACCTGCATTGCAACACGCATCGGATACGAAAGCAAAGACTGCAAATGCCCCTCCTGGACTTGGGCCTGCAGTAGCCCCATTCCATTCATCCGCTCTTCCGAGGGGTTCGGAGGTACCTACACCTCCACCATGCACTGGTCGAAAGAGGCAGGTCAACCCATTCGATGCCGAACAGGACCAATATCTCATCTTTCTAAAGGAGGTAAAGCAGTTTTCGTGGGCCCAAATCACGGCCGAGTACAACGTAGATTTGCCCACACGTCAGTACTCTGCGCTACAATCCCGTTATTCCACCTTCTTGAACAAGAGAGACAGGTCAAAGGATCCATCTACCTTGATCTTGCCCCCTCGGTGGGCTGCAGAGGCGACTGTTGATTGGAATCAGATCCATGGTACTAGTGTCTCAAGAGGACCAAGAAACAACCAGCCCACTGTTCCCCATCAACATGCTGCGAAACCTTCTCGACATCTACCCGTTCAACAGACGATAGAACGGGATTATTCATCAGGAGGCGACTCTGCGCCTCGTCGAGAGCGATCGCGTCGTGCACAAAGAGTCAATTACACATGGCCGAAACAGCGGGGTGTTGCCGCAGATGAAGTAGATGACTACACCGACGATGTCCTTGGATCTATGGCGGACGACTCTGCTCCTACTCGTTCAGAGACACCGCAAGACCATGAAGCGCCTTTGCCCAATGAGGCTGTCGCTGTCGACAACGAGCCGGTGGAAGTACAATTCGATGCAGATGATGCAGCACTTGGATTGAGCCTCTGCACAAAACCGCGCCGGAATGGCACCCACGCTACGCATGTGCCCTATTTGACTTCAGGGCAACGCTTAGCAATGCAGCGTCCATCTACCGGCTCAGAGTGGGACCAGCTCTCAAGTCGAGACTGGCAAGGCAGCCTGCTCCATGTCGACTTCAGCCCGGTTGAGATCAAGCTAGTAGAGAAAATTGTGACATCAATTAAGAACACAAGGTCGCGGCACAGTACGAAAACAAGGCGACTTCGCGAACTCTTAAAAGGCTGCACGGATACACAGATTCTCCGGCTCGTTGAGAGTCTTCGTTCACGCCTGCCTTGCCGAGACCGAAGCAGTATTGAAGCATTCCTACAAGATGCCATGGCCGGCAACATCGCAGAGATACCGCAGATACAACGATTTGCAGCCGCACGGCCGAACACGGAGATGCAGTCGATTCAGAAACCGTCGACCACATCTATCACACGTCAACGAGAGCTCGGTCGTCAGTCGAGAAGAGGCTGGCACACGGCGTCTAAGCCTATCACATATCAAGTGACGAACAAGTATATGGACACAATGGGTCCAGCAGCATGTTGGACGGGCGCCTCAAGTGATATCCATACTGTAGCCTGGGCACCGGATGGTGAACACTTTGCGGCCGGTGCTGTCGCTGTTGACGATCCGGACTCTATGCAGTATAACCGACCTAACAACCTACTCTTCGGAAGCCTCATGCATGGTACAATACACGAGCTAGCAGAGCACTACAAGATACGTAAGAAGACTGAGAGCGGTGCCAACTCAAGTCATGCCATGTTCGCATCCCAGGATCCGAAGTTATACACAACAGTCACCTCGGTAGCCTTTTCGAACAGCAGCCACGTCATGTATTCGTCAGGCTACGACGGACATATTGGTATTTGGAAAACCGACGTCAACGCCGACTCTGCTCAGCCTCTTTTAGCTGCTAAGCTTAACATCAAAGACAAGATTGATATCTTATCAGTCAATCAGATGCAGCCTGGTATGATAGCAACAGCGGCGAAGGCATCCAGTCAGAAGGCAATCAGAGTGCTCAGGATCGATGAGGAAGAGCCCTGCCAGTTTGAGAAATCGAGCTTCCATTCAAACAAGGCTGTCGATCGCATGGATCTCAAGATTCTTCCTACCGCTTTGCAGTTCGAACCGATATGTGGTGAGCAACTGCTTGCAGGTTTTGGCGCCAATATGAAGGAGACGGGCTTTGACATGACCGGCGATCTATGCTTGTGGGACATCGAGACTGAGGCTCCTTATTATATCCATGGGTCTAACAGGAATGTTTTCGATGTCACCTTCAACCCAATTCGTTCTGGTAAACCGATGTTTGCAGCAGGATGTGTCGCAGCGGGATCCAATGTCAACCGCGGCACACGTTCGACAGTCCGTCTCTACGATGTAAGAGTTGACAAGTTTACATGTCCTTTGGAATTCGAGTGCGCAGCTCTAGATATGAACGACCTTATCTGGTGCCCACATGACGAAGACCTCATCGCGGTCGGTTGTACAGATGGACGTGCCTACGTCTGGGATGCGCGTTGGCCCGATGATCCGCTCCGAATACTCTCTCACAGCCGGTCTCTGATGCCTCTACAGGAGGGTGTCAAGCATGAAATCACAGATACCGGCGTTCGTTTCTTGTCCTGGGGTGACAACGCGACGAGGCTTTACTCCGGTTCATCGGATGGCGTGGTCAAGGTCTGGGATGTTACACGCGCGGAAGAGAACACATTTATCAAAGACTTAATCACGTGTGATTCTGGTATCATGTCAGCTGCATTCAGTGCGGACTACAGCAAGCTGGTCGTCGGTGAAGTCAACGGTTCCGTCGACATTCTCGAAATTGGCAGGGATGACACTACGATCAAAGACGCAGACAGGTTACGCTACATGCCATACCAGGATGATGAGCAAGATGAGATCCAGGACCACAAGACTGGCAACATCAACCCCCTAGCACCGGAATCTGGTATCGCGGAAGGCAAATATTTGCTCGAAACCCAGCAATTGCAGACCGCACCTGTAGGAAGTTTACCGGTTCGCCAAGTCGTTCAGGGCCAGAACTACGCCGGTCCCTTCGATGAAAGTGTAGACGCGTCATTCCTTCGTGAGCAAGCATTGCAGTTCCAACTCAGTCTTACAACACCGCTAGGGCCTCAGTGCAATATTCCTGCCTGCAAAGAGAATCTTAACAAAGTCACCAGCGAGGACGTTGGTGATTCCGGGCGAAGTGCAGACCGTATTCCTGATGAGCTACGTCGACAGTGGATGGCCATCGATACAAAGAGCATTGTACCAGGCAAGTCGAAGTGCGTACATTGCGGTCGTCCAGCCCGCCCACCCGTTGATGCCAGCGACTTGGTTCTATGCGAGCGCTGCTCTTTCGCCTGCTTCCGTTGCGGTTCCATGAACCCCATCGCCCCTGCTACGACGATCCTCGTTTGCGAAGCTTGTGCGGGCATCTGGGACATTGGCGTCCTCGGATACGAGTGCGTTCAGCAGCCGCAGCCGCATCTGCACAACAATCACATGGAGCCAGATGTTCCAGTTTTGGAGACGTGGGGCGAAGAAACCCATGCGGACAGGGAGGACGATTTCGATACAACACACGGTGATGAGATGAATGCGCTTACAGACTACTATCTTTCGCTGGCTATTGATCGACCGGAGAGCCCACCGTTGTAGAATTTGGCAAAAAGTTGTCAAAACAAAAGAGCGTTGGCTGTTATTGGAGCATTCTGAAAAGACGGATGCTGACTTGTGTATATCACATTGTGGAAATGGAGAGTGGTGGGAAGAACGGGCAGATGTACTAAGCGATGCTGGTGACGAATGATACCCCATGTTATCTTGTCAAAACGAAAGTTCGTCCATTCGTTACTTGCTAATACACCGTCATGATGGTGCGGTCATGAATCATGTCGTCGTTTTCATCATCGTACACAAATCTTGCTAGTGACCAGACCAAGCCGCACCAATCCACTCTCGAACGACAGCTCGTCATAGCAAGCCTGGGTTGGTAATTTTCCATCGAGGCACAGCGAATCGAGCCAACGGTAATATTTGTCGTATAACAGACTGATACTCCATGCTGGGCCTTTTATGCAGGCTTCGTAGATAAGACGGTAATGTGGAAGTATTTCCAAACGGCAGAGAACATGCATTCTTGCTGTGATGATTTTGATCGATAGTGTGTGACACTTTCGGGAATATTTGCATTTTTGAAAGAGAGCAGATTCTTCTCCACATGAGCAGAGAGGCTTTCATTTTTGGAAAATATAAGGATCAGAGGTGTGAAGAGTGACGAAGATTGACAAGCCAAGCGAAGTTCTTTTAATACATCGCCGTTCGCGCCGCTTTCCCGAAGCGGACACAGAGAGGGTGTCGGTTCTTTTTAGTAGGACAGGGCGAGGAGACAACGACATGCGCCGGAGATTGTCATTTTTTGGTGGAAACACTTGCTCATACACGACCATCGGGTTCCAATACCAGAGCGTTCGAAAACTAAACTTATAGCGTGGGCTTTACGTCGATTTTAGATGATGCCTTCCGATTCAACGATTCAAATGAGCGCAACGGTCACATTTCATCTCCATGTCCATTTCGGTAAGATGTACGCCAAGTTTTGGGTACAGGGCGGACGGACGACCATATACGACAAAGAGATCTTTCTTTTGGAGGTTCACCCATATCAGGGTCCTTCTTTATGTTGAGGCAAAGTGTGAGTACATTTGTGAGGAAGTGAGGAATGAGAGCGCTCAGGAGGGTAGCTTTTATGTCGGCGAGAGGTGCGGAAGAAAACACCGTCAGTTTCCTGCTTATCGTTTCTGGAGAAGATGATTGAAGTCGGGAAAGATGCGGTCGGGACATGGCAAGTTCTCATCGTCGTTTCCAAAGAAGAGAAACAGGCACACATGGACTGGATGGTTGGCTATTTCGAATCCGTCCGTCTCCGGCGATTTTGAGAGTTGATAAAAAGTCAAGCTAAGCGTAACAGAACATCCGCATGCCGAACGACATTGCTGGCTAGCTTATGCATCGGTGTTTCCATCGAGGGTAGAGTTTGTATCGAGCAGGGTACTTCCATAGACACTGTTTGAGCGAACTTTTGTGGATAACTATGGGAAACGTGGGGATGAAAAAGTTTGACCAAAGCGATCGAGGTTGTATTTATACTGGTCGACGTAGCGGCTATAATGCGTAGTGATTTTGGTCTCTCTCGAAACCACAAGTCCGTTGGGGCGATGTTTGGAAGAAGTCGTAATGGCATGCCATAGAAAGTTTGATGTATCTCTCGCGGCACGACGATATTCGTTTGACTTTTCGCACAGTCTCCCAGGCCATCGGGTTTGATGACGGGTATTTTGATGTTGAGTAAGGAGAACAAATTGTGTTTTGAAGGTTGATAGACTTTAGGAATTGTCCTGCGTCGCCAGCAGGCTGATTATGCCTCGTGTAATCTCGCTTTTCGATTAACGGGCGACAGATTCTGAGAGCTAGATCATGGTCGTCATTTTGATGGTCGTGGTCTCAAGGGGATGGTTTTTCTGTTTTTGAATATAAATGCATAGAATTGATGAGTATCAGAAAATATCCAGAAGCACGACCTATATACGAATCCTGACGAGTGCAAGTACCGCCTACTCCTTGGCGTACGTAGCATCCACGCCCTTCATCCCGCCCTCCTCCCTCCAATCAGTCAAGATTTTGATGAAGGCCGGACTTCCATACCCGTAGGTCGCATTCCTCTTAGCACTCTCGCTCGCCTTGCCCTCGTTGTTGTAGTACCCTGGCGTGCACTCCTTCAGAAAGTCCCCCCGAATAGCAGTTCCATCAACGATCGTCTGTGTCCACCCTTCCTCCGCTTCCTTTGTCGGCTCTATAGTCCTGAACCCACGTTTCTTACATTCAGATATGATGTACGCATAGTGGATCGCTTGTTCGTTGGTGACGTGCATGAAGTTCGGTGTCAGGGCCCCTTGGACGATCTGAACGAACAAGCAGTTTGGGAAGTTCCGTGTTCCCCAAGCATGAAGTGTTTGAGCGCCTTCGGCCCACTTCTCGGTGATGGTTGTGTTGTCGCGGCCGTAGATCTCGATGCCGGTCTTGTGCGACCATTCGTTTGCGAGTTCGAAGCCAGTGGCGTACACTAGGCAATCGATTTCGTATTCTTGCCCGTTTGCCACAATGCCGTTAGGAGTAATGCGGTCAACACCTTGACCTTTGGTGTCAACGAGTTCGACGTTGGGGCGATTGAAGGTGGGTAGGTATTCGTCATGGAAGCAGGGACGCTTGCAGAATTGGTTGTACCATGGCTTTAACGCATCAGCCGTCTCCTTGTTCTTCACGATCTCATCCGTTCGAGCGCGGATAGCATTCATTTTCTTGAAGTCAGCGATCTGACGTTTGGCTGCAGCTTCCACCGGGTTGTTCGGGTCGATGCCAGCGGTCAGCAAGGACCGAATGATATCTGTCCAACGATCTGATACCATATCCACTTCTTCGTAACCACCGTTGACGATGTTGTCGAAATTGTCCATGCGCTTCTTCTGCCATCCCTTCTGGAGCGACTGTGCCCATGCCTCGTCAGTCGGGCGATTGCCACGAACGTCAATCGACGAAGGGGTGCGCTGGAAGACGTAAAGTTTCTTTGCCCACTCTCCCAAATGAGGCACTATCTGAACGGCTGTCGCACCTGTACCGATGATAGCTACGCGCTTGTCTTTTAGCTTGTGCAAGTTACCCGAGGAATCGCCCCCCGTGTAATTATAATCCCATCGCGAAGAGTGGAAAGAATGGCCCTTGAAATCTTCGATGCCTTTTAAGCCAGGAAACTTTGGCCGATGAAGAGGGCCCGCAGCAGGAATCACAAATCTCGATTTGATCTTATCGCCTCGCGCCGTGTGAGTAGTCCATTTCCCCTCTTCTTCGTTCCATCGCATCTCTTTGCTTTCGGTCTGGAATAAGGCACGCGAGTAGAGATCGTATTTCTCGCCAATCATGCGTGAATGTTTAAGCAACTCTTTGGCACGCGCATATTTCTCTGTCGGCATGTATCCGACTTCCTCGAGCAGGGGCATGTAGATGTAGGATTCGATATCGCACTGCGCTCCAGGATACCTGTTCCAATACCTGCGTGGATGTCAGCACATAAGTCCTATATGTGGAACAGCGAAACTCACCATGTTCCCCCGAAGTCACCAGCTTTTTCGATAATCTTGAAGTCGTTTATACCAGCCTCAATTAGTCTCACAGCGCAGACCTGAGCGCCATACCCGCCGCCGATGATCACCACCTCGGTCTCTTCTTCGATGGGGTCACGTTTGAATCCTGGCTCGACCCATGGATCTTCTAGATAGTGTGCCAAGCTACCATCAAGGAGTGTGTATTGCTCTACGCCTTCATCTCGTGCTAAACGTCGGTCACGCTCCTGGAGATACTTCGCTTGGAGTGCTGCCGGATCAAAGGTCAAGTCGTTCTCGTGAGCTAACTCTCCAGTCTTGATGTCGACGGTTGACTTGGCAACATCTGGGTCTGGGAGAGGTACCTCAGCTATCGGAGCTGCAGCGATGGGTCCTTGAGTTGTCATTATGCTTATATTTAGTCGAAGTAAGGTGTTGTGGCTCTAAACCAAGCTTCTGGATTACCCAGGAGATTTGAGGAATGGGCAATCGTATAGTAGGACTTGAAGAATAATCATGTTGATCTAGCCGCGGCAACCCCTCACACAAGGCTTCCCCACCCCACAGTCACTTGAGTAGATTCACGACATGATTACTCGATCCCAGCTGAGTAGACTACACCCCGCAATACCTGCTGTTGACTCTAGATGTCAGGTGGGTGCCGGAAGAATTCACCCGTTGGTTTTATAGAGCCCCCTTTGTCGCCTGAATAGTAAGCAATTGTATGATGAAGACGAATTTGGATAGATCTACCCGCTCGGGACAGGTGTGGGGTAGCTCGGAATGGATCGTCGACTAAGCGCAGACGAGTCGCACAGGGCTGCGCGGGTGTATCAGGTACTGTACTGCAAGATCATCTTCTGGAGTTGAGTGGCAGACCGAGTCTAGGAATGTTTGGCGAAGCGCATGGGTACCAGTCTTCCTCCACACCCAAACATGCGGGTCCGTCGCCGGGCGGCGCGTACTGCAGATCCACGGCGGGACAGACATTCCGTTCTGCCCTAACTTCATACCTCGCTACAATCGTCAGTTTAGCTGCTCTGTGCATTTTTATCCTTCGCATGCTTGGAGTATCGGTGTGACTGCACAGGAGGACGTGGTCAGGATGACGTGTGCTCCGCGCTAACAGACTTTGGGATGCGCTTACCCAAATGGCGATGGCCTAGAAGCAACGCACCACCTAGCAGAATCCGGCCAAAATCGCACCTTGTGTCGTGCGACGTAAGCCTGCCACGATTGCGACAGCGTCTCAGCAACGCCGAATTCCTTCCATCACGCCGAGGAGTATGGCGGCAGGCTTTGGTCAGAGGACCGACAGGGTGCCTACGTAGTCACAATCGGTAACAGCACACGAATTCAAGAGTTGGAAAAGCATAACGTTTCATTGAATCATCCAAAATCGTAACCAAATCGTAACCCAGGTATATCCCAACCGTAATCCACCCTAGTGTATGTATAAAGAACGAAAGAAGTAATGGTAAGAGAGCTGGAGAAGTAATCGCA